TCAAGATTCCTATCGTGAGTCGCTCCTTGACCCAATTCTTGTCACCATTTTCGCCGATGATTTTAGCCATTTTAGTGTAAGGTTGTTTGGATTGTTCTTTAAATATTGGGAAGCTTCATAAGGTCCGTTTCTTTTTCTTTGTTTCAATGATACTTTATTGTTGTCTTCCAATCATATCTTTTGAGTTGTAATTCCTTATTGGCTTTATCTAGTATGAATTTTAATCATAATGCTTTGTGTTTAGTCGGCTTCGATGATTAATTGGCGTTTCAACTCTCATGATCAGTTGGTTTGATTGTTGAACATTTAAGATATATGTGTATTTCTAGTCTTCTGAATTTTGAAAATATGTGTAGTAAATGTTATTTCATTTGCTAAATTTGAGGTAAAATATTAGAATATATATATATGGAAAAATGGCCATGTCAAAGTACTCTGTAAATCGTTTGCTTTTGGAAAAAAATGTTATCTGATTAAGCATCTGACTTTGAAGTAAATCATTACTAGTTTAAAGTAGTCCAATCCACAAAAAGTTTAACTTCACTGGTTTTGTAATGTGCTACAATAACTTTGGCATAGGAGTCTTAAAATTAGAAAAGCTCATTAAAGGTTCATTTCCTTCTCTTAATGCATTTCTTGCTCATGAATGGATTAGTATCATTTTCCCCCCTTAATTAATAGATCTTTAATTGTTCTGTTTTATCGAATATTGGAGTTGTTTTCTTTCTTGGTAAGGAATAAGAATAGGTCATGAGTGGTGTTAAGTGAGAAAAATATATAACTCTTAAGCCTCACAATAATCTTAAATTAGTGTTAGAAAAATAATTCATGTGCTAGTTTTTTTTGGTGTGCTTTAAATAATTAAATATCATGGTTTTGTGTATGGTCTCAGTGGCATAGTTGTGATACGTAACAAAATAAGTACGCGTATGTGTGACTTAATTCAATATAACTTTCATAATTTTAATCAAGCAGTAAAAGTGGACATAAGTAAAAGATGAGAAATCAAATATATCACAGTTTATCCAAAATTAATTTAAGCCAAATGTAGTCAATAAAGCGACCGTGCTAGAACCACAGGACTTGGGGAATGCCTTACACCTTCTCCCCGGTCAACAGAATTCTTTATCCGGACTTTGTTTTCGTAGACCAATAATAAAAGAGTCAAACCTTCTTTTGACTAGGGATTAAGGTGACTTGGAATACCAACAAATCAATTCCAAGTGGCGACTCTGAATAACAAAAATAATCCCTATTTCAAAATTGTCACTTTAATTGGAAAAACTCTTTAACCCACAAATCCATAGCATAATTACTACATTATCTTTTGGAGGTGTAAAAAAGGGATGTGACACTCGTTGTTTCATTCGGAGGTGGAGGCATGAGTTTTGATACTGCGTCATATGTAGCGAACATTTCCCTTGATGCGCGTTGTTCCCCATAGACGATTTTGACCTCGTCCTTTGTCGGGAATTTTATTGCCCGGTGGAGGGTGGATGGTACTGCTCTCATGCAGTGTATCCAAGGTCGTCCAAATAAGGCGTTATACCTCATATCTCCCTCGATGACATGGAATTTGGTGTCTTGGGTTGTGCCGGCCATGGTAATCGGAAGGACGATTTCTCCTTTTGTTGTTTCGCTCGCCATATTGAATCCATTGAGGACACGGGTGGCGGACACGATTTGTTCGAGCAGCCCGAGTCATTCTATCACCCTCGACCTGATGATATTGGTCGAGCTACCTGGATCCACGAGTACACGTGTTATCTGAAAAGAATTTACAAGAAAGGAGATTATTAGGGCATCGTTGTGGGGTTGAGACAGGGCCTCGATGTCCTCTGCGTTGAACGTGAGGGCATCTTCGGGGATATATCCCCGAGTCCGTTTTTCTCTGGTGATGGATATTTTTGTCCGTCTCATTACGGGTTCCTGCGGGGCATCGGTGCCCCCGTGATCATATGGATGACGTGTTGTGGCTCGTTTGCCTCATTTTTCTTGGTCGCTTCCCTCTCTTGGAATTGATTTTTGGCCCGATCGCTGAGGAATTCCCAGAGGTGCCCTTTGTTGAGCAGTCGAGCCACTTCCTCCTGTAGCTGATGGCAATCATCGGTCCTGTGACCTGCGTGTTGTGGAACTCGGATACTAAGTTGTAATTTCTCTGCGAAGGGTCTGACTATATTGGTTTGGGCCATTTGGCGTCTCTGATCTTGCTGATGGCGAACACGATGTCTGAAACGTCGACGCAGAAGTTGTATTCCGATAAGTGGGGCGTGTTTGTTGGCGCTATGATTCAATCAAACCTGGTTCTATTGGCGAGCCCTCGAGGGTCCTGTCCTCGATCCATCCTTCAATCGTTGCGAGGTAGGTTGCGCCTTGGGGCGTTTCTTCTGTCTTCGTGGTAAGGTTGGTACCTTTCTTTGTTTGGTTTTGACTCTTTTACCAGGAGTCTGTTTGGATACACTGAGCCCGAAGGGGCTCCCAATTGGTTGTCCTCGGCCCTAATCTTCGATTGGTACCGGTTGTGGACGTCCGACCTGGTCACGACCCTTTTTATCATTGGCTGCAATCATCTTCTCACCTGACTCGATCCTTTTGGTGAGGTCCTCGAGCATCTTCACTATGGCGGGGTCAGTTACTGACCCGTTATTGCTTGATCTTTCGGGTACTTTCTCGGCGGGGGGAGCTACCTCCGATACTGATGTGCTGGGAGTTCTCAGATGGCTTTACAACTGAGCAATGGCCAACTGTTGTGCCTGCAACATTTCAAAAATAGCATGAAGACTAACTTCCTATTCTTCCCGGGCCGGGGTGTTTTGGGCTTCATGTCAGTCACTATGTCGTATGCTCTTGTTGGTGTGAGAAGTTTCATCGGCCTGCTGTGCATCCTGTGAGTCTGCGTCCACTAGAATCGGTCTGGGTGCGTTATCTGGATTCTGTAGTGGTGCTCCGGCGACCGGGATAGCCACGCCATTTTTCTCATGATTCTCGAGGTTGTCGTTCTCGACTCCGTTTACCGAGCTCGACATTTTGACCTAAAATCAAAGGATCTTGGACAAGAAAAGTGTGAAATATAATGTGCGCTTGTGCAATGAAACTATCAAGAATATAATCACTATTATTTTTAGCCCCACGATGGGCACCAAACTGTTTACCGTGAAAATGGTAACAACAATTAAATTTGTAAATGGAATTCTAAAAATACGTGATCTATTCCCGAGCTAGTTGTTAGAGCAGTTGATGCTAATAATATGGAGTTTAAAGTTTAAATACAAGCTAAAACGGGATGATAATCGAACCACAGGGCCTGCTTCCCGGATGTGTGTCTGGTCGATGAGGAACCTCGGGGCCGATGTCAGGGTCGAGTTCGAGTTATCGGGGATAGTCGGGGATGGGAGAACAGTTGAAGATATAGTTGAACAAGGCTCTTTATGGTCACTAGTAGGGTATATGATCAAGAACAAGTAAGAAAGCGATAGATATTGAGGTGACTTCGGGTCAATATCACGTGACAACCAAAGAATAGACAAGAAGATAGCAAAGCTAAATGATTTCGAGCTAGTGAGGACAAGCGAATTAGAGAGGAGAAGGAGAGAGAAGATATTATTGCCCTTTTGTAGAATAGTTGGAGCTCTGCCTTTACAGGGTATTAGTGACTCCCCTTTTATAGAAAATGGGGGGAGTCCAATCTTAGTGCAAGATACACTGCGTGATGCAAGAAATAGGATGGGACAACCGGCTAACTCCGCGATGTTTGTGTGGGCCGATATCGAGCTGCTTGAATAATTCTGATCGACCCCAGGTGCATTCCTTGAGAGATACTTGCATTCGCTGAGGCTTTGGCCGACATTATCCTTGGCGGAGTGCCTCCCGATCTTGAAGGAAGTGATCGGCCCGAGATCCTGGGCTCCCGAGATCACCCTTCGAAGTATTCAGTTGAGGAGAAATTGGTCTCCCAGATTTCACCGTGTACACTTAATTAAATATCGTATTATATTCATTCATGATAGACTCAATACCATAGAAATATAGGGTTGATATATTGTGGGCAAGCGATTAGTGTTGTGGAACCATGCTATTCATATAAACGATCCGGTTAATTAGCAACTATAGATAATCTGGATTAACGAGTGTGATTATTGAACTTAATAGGATTGATAAACCAACCACAATCCTGGAATTTTCATCTCCTCTGAAGTAAATTCTCGTCATATGCATTTGCATTGGTGATAAATTAGTTGTTATTTGTTTAATTTCCGCAATAGTAGATTAATAGAAAAATATCACTCTTAAATATCTTGGACAATTAATTGATTTTAGTTAGCTTAATTAACAATCAATCTAAGTCTATGGGAGTTTGACTTCCAACTTTCGAGTCACTTTATTACGTACCGGCCACGTATACTTGCGTGTACTTGGGGAATCAACATGAACCCAATTACTTATCGTATATTTACTTGAGATCGCTGCAGAAATTCATAAATTTCAAATCATGGATCCGCATCTCCCAGCATTTACTTAAAATTTTATTCGACAATGATACTTCGCCACTTTCAAATTCTAGGTCTGCCTCTTATATTGCATATAGCTCTTATTTTAGATGGTGAATTCCCATGATAGATATTTTTGGATATTTTCATTGAGATATTGGTTAATAGTGGTTGATTCATAAATGAGACAAAAAGTGACGGACTAATCAGATAACACGGCCGACAGGACTATGTCATCATAGTGAACTCCAAAACAGTTGTCTTAAATTTTCTCGTCTTTATATTTCTCTTCTGTTACTATCCAACAAAAATAACGAAACAAACTTCTCCCCACACATTCTCCATTTCTTCCCTTCCTTTTCCTCCATTTCTTACACTTCCCTTCATATTCTGTCGGCATAATCCTAAATATTTCACCCAAAAAAATCTCTTTTTAAAAACCCCTCTACCAAAACACTTTTCGTTGAAGAAAATATGGATTCAAAAAATGATAACATTCAAGAAATGGGATAATCTTTGTTCAGATATTACAGAAAAAAAATCCTTTCTTACCTCCCAATTCGTTCTATAGTTATTGCTTCCTCTGTATGCAAAAACTGGAATTCAATAATCACCTCTTCTTCTTTCACAACCAGAATCTCAGCTACAAAAAAATCATGGCTTTTTCTCTGTGGCCAAAACAATATTTTTATCAAAAATAACCAACCTTTTGCTTTTGACCCTGATGCAAATAAATGGATTACACTTCCTACTTCAACCCTTTTATCCCAAGATTTCTTTATTGGTTCAAATGGTTTTTTCTTTGCTACTTCTCAAAATTTCAGCTTTAAGCCAACTCTCAATGGCTCTTGGGTTCAAACTAGTCCTTTAAAATTCTCTAGGTGTAATCCTCTTGTTGATGTTTATTACAAAAATGGGTTAAATCATGAACCAAGATTTATTGTTGTAGGTGGTGTTAGATTTGTTGGTGGATTAGTTGAAATTGAGGACCGTTTGGCTGTGGAAATTTATAATCCAAATTTGGATTTTTGGGAACTTTGTCCACCTTTACCAGCTGATTTTAGGTCAGGTAATTCATCACAATGGTCATGTTCATCTTTATTGAAAGGGAAATTCTATGTTTTTGGGATATATTCTTGTTTTATTACATGTTTTGATTTGGACAAATGTTTGTGGAGCGAGGTTCAGACACTTAGACCACCTGGAATTTTGTTTTCATTCTTGGTTTCATGTCAAGATTGTTTAGTTTTAGGTGGATTATGCAATTCACCTAATGGACCAAATTTTATACTTTGGAAAGTTGATGAGAAAACAATGGAGTTTAGTGAAATTGCTATAATGCCTCAAGAATTGATGTATTATTTGTTTGATAGTGAAGAGGATGACAAATATGCTAGTTTAAAATGTGTGGGATTAGGGAATATTATTTATGTGTATAATGAAGAACATCACAAGAATTACAATGCTTGTGTTTGTGAATTTGGAAATGAGTTTGGGAAGTGTAGTTGGAGGAAAGTGCCTAATTTGCCAGCAAGTGCTAGTAAATTTCATAGAGTGATTAGCTTTTGTTCAAATGTTTCCCTTGATAACATTCTTCAGGGTGCAAGAATTTAAGTTTGACAAATAAGCATATATTTGGTGGAATAGTCGATGTGCAATACAAATTGATTGGGTGGAAAAACTCCCGAACATTGTTGTTACGAAGAAATAATAAGTTTCACAATGTTCTTATGGGTGCAAAGGAAATTCTTGATCTGGGGCATATTGTTCACTGAGTTTGAGTTTGGTGTAAATGATAAAGTTGCCCCATGTGACTAGGGGTTCAACGAGTTTAAATCGTGAAAACAGTCTCTTGCAGAAATGCAGAGTAAGACTGCGTAAAATAGACTCTTGTGGTTCGGCACAGAGGCGGATGTAGTGTATAACTTACGAGTTCAACTGAACCCACAACTTTCGACGCGAAGTCAAAATTTGTATGTAAAAATTCACTAAAATTGCAAAAATAGTAGATATGAACCCATAACTTTAAAAATATAATGAGTTCAATATTAAAAATATTAAAATTGAACCCATATGATTTAAATCTGGGGGAAGTGCACGGTTGACCACTAATAACACATGTATTTACTTTTAAGCCACCGTTTAAAATGTCTTTAGTCTTTAGCCACTGCTTTAATAAACTTTAACTGCCCTGACANTAAACTTTAACTGCCCGGACGAAAATAGTGCTCATGTCCTTAACTTTTGTACTTAACTTCAGGACTACATGTCCTTAACTTTTGAACATGGAACTCTAAGTTCAAGACTTCAGGACTACATGTCCTTAACTTTTGAACATGTAACTCTAAGTTCAGGACTACATGTCCTTAACTTTTGAACTTGGAACTCTAGGTTCAGGACTTCAAGGCTACATGCCCTTAACTTTTGAACTTGGAACTTAAACTTCAAGACCAAGCGTCCTTAACTTTTGAACTTGTAACTGTAAGTTAATGATCGTCTGTCCTTAACTTTTGAATTTGTAACTATAAGTTAAGGATTGTTTGTCCTTAACTTTTGAACTTGGAAATCAAAGTTAAGGACCTATTGTCCTTAACTTTTGAACTTGTAACTGTAAGTTAATGATCGTCTGTCCTTAACTTTTGAATTTGTAACTATAAGTTAAGGATTGTCTGTCCTTAACTTTAGAACTTATAACTGTAATGCATGTCCTTAACTTTTAAACTTGTGTCCTTAACTATTGAACTTAACTTTAGGACTTCAAGATTACATTTTCTTAACTTTTGAACTTGAAACTCTAAATTCAGGACCATGTCCTTAACTTTTGAATTTAACATTAGGACTTCAGGACTACATGTCCTTAACTTCTGGGAAGGAATTGCATTTCCTGTTTACTCATCACTCTTTTTCTTATTTTCACAACTTTTAGATCTAAAAATAAATTCAAGGAGCTAAGAGCAAATAAACCCTATTACATTAGACTCGCTAGAAAGAAAAATAATCAGCATACCGATTTTGCCACAAGAGAAATGGCAGAAGCATAATAGCTTCAACGTCAACCAAATTTTAAACAAAAAAGTAGAGACGGATCTAAAATTTTCATGATAACTCCCATAAAACGACATACCGAAAAAAGTCCACTGAGGTCCATTTCTAACATGTTTCGACATAGTAGCGATTTGTACCAAGAGAACACCAGAGAATACGAAGTCTTTTTGTTTTGAATGCATCAGTGTATTTCCGTTTGGGGAGGAAAGGGTAACACAGTCTTTTCATATTAATTTTAATAGACTAGTGGCTACTATTGCTAAGCATTAAAAATGCTGGATAAAAAGTAAATACCAGCTTAAACAGTGGCTACCCCACGCCATTTCTACTTTAAATCCTGGATCCGCCTCTGATTCGGCACTTCCTCGAACTTTGCGCATAGGGCGAGCTCAGTTTTTTCATGCATAATAGTAATATATACTCCATGTACTTTTTCTTGTTTTCAGAATTATAATGCAATTATAGATAATCTTTTGGTTATGTTTGGTAGTGCTGCTTTTGTGGTAAATATGTTGTGCTCGTTGATGAATGTTCTCAATTAAAGACTTCAGATATTCATTAATCCAATCTATTTCGTTTTTCGTTATATTCAATTTTGAAAAGGGATAAAGGTCAAGTTCGCCGCTGAAATTACGTAACATTGGTTAACGATGCCATAATATCTTTGCGGTTAGCAAACATATCATATTTGCTCTTATTTTTCGACTCAACAAACGGTATCCTTGTTTGTTCACCGTTGTCCATATAAACTGGCACGTGTGATTTAGCAGACACATGAAAAATAAATAAGAAATTTAAGTGGCTGTGATCAGTGGCGAAGCTATGAATTTTATCTAAAGTGATCAAACATGAAATAAGCAAAAAAAATCTCTAATAAAGGGTGTTCAATATATGTTATATACGATTAAAATATAATATTTTACCTATATGTATAATATAACTTTTCGACGAAGGGTGATCACCTCTATGTACCTTCGCCCCTGGTTGTGATCATAATATAAGTGTGATCTATGCGTACTGAGCCATTCCTGGAACGAGCCACATGCAAAGAAATTAAATCTGAAGCTCTGACCAGAAACTCAATATTCTGTAATAATATGCATAGGTTCCTATAGTTTGAGCGAGATTGTCATAATGCAGAAAGTGGGTTACATGTGAAATTACTAGTGATTTGGTCAGTTCTGAAAGAAAATGAGAAGGGTTAAAAGTGAAATAATGGGAAAATGAATCGGGAGTTCAGTGAGAATAGAAAGAAAAGGAATTTTTACATCGTATAACCATCTTCTAAAAATAAGAACCGACAAATACATACTTCTAATATATTAATATGCAATATATGTGTGTTTAAGAAAGAAGATAAGATTTTTGAACATATGTTGTAAAATGAGATAGCATATATTTTTTATGGCTATAAAAATATTGCATAAAGGTAAATTGTTTCCAAATATGTGATGATAGGTTATAATTAAGTATTTTAGTCGCTTATTACACTCTAATATATTGCACTTTAATTGAGTTTGAGCTTTAATCGCTAGTGTTTTGCACTAATTGTATATTTTATGCTTTGCAGGAGTGATTCCGAGCTATGTAGATATTATGGAATGAATTCAAGTGATTTGGAGCTTTGAAGTCTAAGTAAAAGCCCAAGGAATCAAGCCGAGATCGTGTTTGGGGATCAACGGATGATAGTTAAGAACGAAACGAAGAATTGAGCGGGCATACGGCGCATTGTCTAGTCAAATGCACATAAATTTTATCTCAGAACTCCGTTTGGGCTACACAATATTGTTTAACCAAAAAGTGAAATTTCGGTCAAAGCTTTAATTTAGAAGAACTCGGGTTACTTATAATCAAAAATGAGTAAAAGGAAATGACTTTGCTAACAATCAGATAAGTAGAAGAAAACAAAGTAAACCAATATATTCAGATAATATTTCGTGTCCTTACAAATGATTAGTTTTCTCCTTTTTATAGTTATCTCAAAAATATACGTTTGCCTTTGTCATAATAAGGCCATTATAGACAATTAAGGAAATTAAATGCTACATTACATAATCATTGTAACTTAATACAGATTCTCTAACATTTCCAGTATTCAATGCTTATTAAATACTGTATCTGTACTCTACTGTGTTGTCAGATTCATTCTCCTTGATTTTTGGATTTAAATAGATACGAGTGTTGAGTCTTTTGAATAACTGTTTGTGCCTTTACTTGTGTGTCTGCTCGTATCTGTTGCAACTCGTGCCTCTTTGCCAATCAGTATTCTTTGACCAGCCTACGTGTCATGACACGTCATCTTTCATCACTTTAATATGTAAACCCAATTTTTCCTAACACAGATAGTCCCCCCACTTGCCGTTTATTCAACAATTGAATATTTGGGAAGTGAATTTCATTAAAGCGGGAATATTTGCCGCCATAAATGCTATGATAGAATCGACGCTTCAATTGTCACTTCCATTTAATGCCTATTACATGTGGCACCTTTTTATTGGTTCTGCGACTTTGCAGCGCTTTTTTAAGGTTCTTTTACAGCTTCACTAACCACGAAGCGACAGTTCTTATTATGATCTTTCCATCATTGCACCTTTTCCTTTGACGGTTGCTTCTTAATATAAATATAGTTTTCACCTTTGTCCTTCCCACATAAAGTTCTCTGAATATTTAATTCTTGAATTTTTGTTTGCTTCTTCCTCGTACTATCATGTCTTCATTAAACCCTAACCCTAGAAGGGTCCCCATAGTTGATAACTTCCCTAATGCCCCCAGAAGGAGCAGAAAAGGAGGTAGACTTCATAATTTAGGGTCTTCATCCATACGTGGTTCTTCTCTTCCTTCGTCTAGTTCCAGTCCTTCTTTTAGAACCAGAGGCTCTTTTTCACAAAGGTCCTCTTCTAAAGGAAAGGAACCCTCTGAACCTGTTCGTGAACCTACAGTGGATGAAATAGTTCCTGCTGAACTAACTTTCTATAATGATAGAGAGTCCCTAAGAAACCAAGTGTCTTCTTTAGATCTTGCTGATATCTATCCAACTCAGATCATAGAGGGTCTGATTTCTTTAGTTCGTAATGACTGTCATTGGAGTTATGACTTTCCTATCATAATTCCCAGTGCGAATCAAAGAATCACCTCCTATTTAGTTGGATTTTCCTTTGTTTATACGCACCCTTTCACATTAGGATTCAAACCTGCTATTGATCCTGTTATTCTCGAATTCTGTCATTTTTTCTACGTTTGCTTAAGTCAAATTGGCCCTATAGCATGGAGGGTTGTTGCCTGTTTGAGGCACTTGACTAACATGGCAGGTGTACCTTTCACTTTTGCCCATTTTATTCACTTGTACTCTCCCAGACTTTTCCGCCAAGGTATTTTTACCTTAGTAGCTAGGAGCAAAAGAGTTCTGGTTAGCCCAGAAGATGACAGAGACCGTGGTTGGTATGACAGGTTTGTTGCTGCCTCCACTGTTGGTTTAGTAGGTGATAAAAATGTTCCCTTCCCCAAGAAGTGGAATTTTGCACGTGAGTTTTCTTTTTAATAATTTTCTCGTACCTTTTTCCTCAATTTTGATGATCATTATTCTAATTTTCCTTTTCTTTTTCAGCTACCATGGGAATTATTGAGGAAATCCCCAATTTCCATGGTTGGGTAGGAAAGTTATTAAATACAGCACAAATGGAGGGTAGATCTTGGAAAAATCTTTCCCACCGATTTGGT